TTCCTTCCTTCCTTCCTTCCTTCCTTCCTTCCTTCCTTCTTTCTTTCTTTCTTTCTTTCTTTCTTTCTTTCTTTCTTTCTTTCTTTCTTTCTTTCTTCTGCCTTCTTCTTTTTTTACTTTCTCCAGTTTGGTTCTTATAATGCTGCTAAGTGTGGTCTTGAATTCCTGGGCTCTTCTCAGACTACAAAGTACTGGAATTACAGGCATGGATCGCCATGTACCACTGGCATTGGTAGCTTTAATAAGCTGATCTTTTTCAAATCACAGTGGAAAGAAACTTTTGTAAAGAATGAGCAATGGCCTTCAGATAGCATGATATTTACAGTGAAATACAAAATTTTTAAAAAATTATTCATACCTGCACCTCCACCTAGGCTCAGAATCTTAATTTCTGATTTTGTACCTCCAATCCTGAAAAATAAAAGTACATTGTTTAAGAAAAATGTGCTTTAAAAAAATCTTATTATCAAGTCTAATGGAAGGTCAACTACATCAACATGAAAGGTCCTAACCAATTCAGCGGTTACATAGCTACCTTTAGACTAATTTTAAAAGAATAAGTACATGTCTACATTGTTTAACCAGTTTTTAAGAATCATATCCTGTATTGCAAGTAATTATTTCATATTTTTAAAGAGAAAGAAACAAAAACAAATGCAAAGAACAAAGTAACATAACACAATAAAAAGGTACAGAATTTCAAAAGAATAGAAAATTAGCAATAATTGTTATGTGATGTATTGTTATCATCAAATTTGTTGCTCACATTACCAGATCTGGGCATGCAAGACTGATAAAGCAATTAAACATTAACTCTTCCTTTCAATAAACCTTAATTTATTCTTTTTGCTTTTTATTTTTTATTTTCAATTTATTTTAAAGAGAGTATAAAAATAATAGATAAGACATTAGAGATGATGCACATTTAAAAGAGCAAGATAAAGGTATTCAACCATACTTGTTATCCATTGCTGTCCTCAATGTAATTGCTCAGATTACAGATATTAGCATATAGAGTTGGTCAAAGTAAAACTTCTAAACATTAACTGCTACTTTATTTCTTTTTTTTTTTTTTTCTTTTCTTTTTTTGGCACAACCAGGGATTGAACTCAGACCCTTGCGCTTGCCAGGGAAGCACTTCTTCCACTGCGCCATCTCCCCAGCCCCAACTGCTACTTTCAAAAGAACTGATAGAAATTAGTAGTATAGTCTTCTCAGCTATTCTGTATGTACACTTACATGCTTTTTCCCCATCCAGGTTTTCATATCTTTCCTCCTTCCCTAATCTCAATTGTTTATTCCTTATGTTTAGTTTCTTTCCATTTTAATATATCTGTTGTATCTTTAAGATTTTATTTGTTCTTTCAGGTTCTTACACTAAGGAAACAATGCAATGTTTATACATGTGGGTTTGAAGATAACAATGCACAATGTACTGAACATTGCTACTCTCCTACAAACTTATTTTGAAATCTTATACTATTGTTTTTATGTTTATTTTGCATCTCTTAAAATAAAATAAATAAAATATACAGTATTTTCATCAGTGATCTTGAATTGTAAGACTAAGAAACATTATTATGAATATATCAGAGGTAGAAAATGACATTTCACTCAGAAATTTACTGAAGAACAGGAATAGAAAATGGTTCTCATGAGACCCTAATCCATTCATTGTAAGTGGAGAAAAGGAAAGGGAGGTTCACATAAACCTTTGCGCTAAGTGGCACAAGTTTTAAGATCATCCCACTTTCCTTCTTTTTACTTTTATGTCAACAAATTTTTATTATTCATTGTTTATGTACCTCTTCTAGAATTGAGATTAAGAGGAGTAAGATATGGGCCAGGGATATATCTTAGAGAATAAATACCTGCCTGGCAAGTGCGAGGTCCTGAGTTTGATTCCCGGTAGCTAAATAAATAAATAAGATACTACATTGTTCTCAAGCTAAAAGTAACTAGTGAGCTTAGCCAGAAAGGAAACTCCAGTAGAGCTGTGGCCTGTAAAAATAGAACAAAAGTGATCTTGTTTGCTGGGAATGAACAGGAAAATAGAAAGACAACCAGAGGGCATCATAAGAAACAGCAGGATTCTACCCTGTGCAGTCTCAAAATTGCAAAAGTGAAAGACTTTGCTTTGAGAAGAAAGCCCTAGCAGGCTATGTTCCAGAATGGAGGTAGCATAGAGAATTTTTCCTCAGAATTGGATTCGGAGTGCTCAGCAATCCAGGCACTTGACCCCTACAGCCAAGAGAGAAGGAAGGCAGACCACTGCCCCAGTTGGCAGCCAATCTCGACATCATCCACATGGCAGTGGGTCTAAGTGAGTGCAGAATGGACAAGTTGTGTGGTCAGGGAGGCTCTACCCAGATTTCAGAAGAGCTCCTGGGAAGCTAGGCAGTGTGTCCCTGAGAGGACAGTGTGTAAAGTCATGAGCATGGAAAGGTGAAGTGGAGATGCCAGAAGTCTGGAGAAGTGAGGAACACGAATGTCTGAGGAAAACTGCAAGGAGGGAGAAGAATGGGCCCCAAAGAGCAACCGAGGGGGCTGTAACCACCAGAAGTGCTGTAGGGCTGGAGACACCAAGGCCTGAGGAGTTCACAGTCTGCCACAGATCGATCTGTATGCTGGACATGGAACTAAAGGACTTACTATTTGCCCTGCTGGATTTTGAAATTGCCTTGGTCCCATTCCTTTACATATCCTTGTTTGTAAGTTTTGGAATGGAAATATCTGTCCTGTGCCATTGAATGCTGAAAGTGTTTAATTTTCTTTTTATTTACATAAGGGCTCACAGCTAAGAATTTCCTTAAATCTCAGAGATTTTTGACTTGGACTTTTCAGCAATACTGAAACTGTTAGGGTGTTGGGAACTTTTGGAGATAGACTACATGCCTTTTGCAAAAAGGGATGTGCTCAAGTCTTTGCAAGGCCAGCAGGGAAATGGGGTTTGTGTCTAGTGGTACCCCACCGAAAGCCTTATGGCTTTTTTCCCCTGGAGATTGCTGAATCTCGAGTGTGAGATTGATTTATAGTGCAATGCTGGAATTAAAAGCACAGATATTAAGGGTGCTAGGATTTAGGGTGGTTGAATTTTGGATCAGTCCACTGAAGCAATTGGCATCAGTCTATTCCTGGTAGAATATAAGGTGAAGAATGAGGTGTGTTCGTTCTCTCTTTACTCTTGCTTTTGCTGCCTTACACTGCTATGAACAGTTGCTCCTTCTCCATGGGTCATCCTCCCTTGGAGCCAGTTCATAAGGCTTTCCTCCTCTAACTTCAGGTGTTGGGCATTTTGTCTCAACAAGGAGAAAAGTAACTAAGACAATTATTATTATTCAGGTAATAGTTGAAATGCTTTGTGTGCAACAATAATAAAATTTACTGTTTATAGCTATAACTCCTCTCCAACCCTCATGCATCTTCTACCTCCAGATAGGAGGTATGAAATTCTTTGCCGGTGGACCATAACATGTGTTGCCAGGTAACAACCGAGGCAACCTTTGAAGGTTAAGAAAAACGAGCCTCTCAATAAGCCTATTCATTACATACAAAAATAAAATCCTAATCATTTTCAGTGACTTATTTTGTGTTAGGGTGGCAATTGTGGCTCATCAGATGGCTTGAGTTCTCTTCAACCATGAGAATGAGGACTAAAAAAAAGGAACTCAAAGAACACATGTAGTGAGTACATGAAAAATTTGTAATAGGCAGAGGAAGGTATCACATATGTATGAGGAAATGAGTAATAAAAAAAGATACTATAGAAAGGAACATTCTTGTAAGTTAAAACTTGTAATGTGACCTAAAACATACAGTTGTAGAATAGATTATAGAAAAACTAGAGCAGCAATGTCAGAGGGTTGATGTTTGATGAATAAATACTCTAACTACTCAAAATATAAAATAGGTATGACTCAACATTATTGAGTTTTCCCAGAATTGAAAGATCTGAATCTCAACTGAAATGACTCATGAAATACTCACCAAGACAGATGAACAAGACCCACCCAATAATTTAGAATCTTACAATTTCAGAATATGAGGGATAATGAAAAGATGCTAAAAATTTTAGTAAAAGAACCAAACAAAACCAAAAACGCTATATGTCAAAGCTGAAGAAACTGAATCACATTGGATGTCTTACGACAAGTCCAAATATTTCTTTTTTTTTTTTTTTTTTTTTTTTTTTTTTGTGGAATCGGGGATTGAACTCAGGCCCTTGAGCTTGCCCGGGAAGCACTTATTCTACTGAGCCATCTCCCCAGCCCCTATCTTACAACAAGTCTAATAGCTAACAGAAAAATATCTTTACATTTGTGATATAAAATCATTTTCAGTAGTTTTTACCCAGTCAACCTTTCTAATAAAGATCAACTGAAACAAAGGCATTTTAAACATACAAAGTACCCAAAAGTTTGCTCTTTGTTAACACAGCCATGTATTTTGCTATTAGAGAACTAAATACTGGAGAGAAGAGAATTATTAAGAAGTAAAATAAATTCCCTCCTCAATGACTATATTACAGGTCCAAAGAAAACCTTGTCAGACTGGAACAAGGGGCAGAGGGACACTGAAAAGATGTTTTCACAGAGAAAAGCAAACAGATTACTTATATGTTTAGAGAGAAGAGGACAGTAATACATCTGCTAGTGCATAAATGTAGTGATAGATACATAGAAAACTAAGAAAAGAAACTAAACTCATGAAAACCATTGTCATCTCTAAGAAAAACTCAAAATTGTACATGAAAGGAAATGTAATTATAGTATAACTATTGCTCAAATGAGAATAATATGTTCATAGGCAAAATGGCTTAAAGCCATATTATTTCTCCAAAAAAATTTGGCATAAATAATAGACATAATATATGGGAGAAATGTGTGTGTTCATGTAGCTATTTTAGTACAGTAAAATTAAGAAATCAAAGAAGAGCATGGGGCTTAGAGTTTTGCAAGAAAATTGCATAAGAAGCAAAGGACTTCAAACAGTGCAAAGAGCTGCTTCTGCAGAATAGGAATCAGTGGGCGTGGAGGGATGGGGGACAAGCAGCTATTTGTTTTTTATCTTTTGTTTCTTTAATTAATTTTATTGAGAAATGGCAATGAGACAATTTCAAAACTGATTAGTAGGACAGTTTCAATAATTAATACATTGCGTATTATTGTCTTCATAGTGGTTATTCATAGTACAAGATGCAGACAGGATATCCTGTCCAAACACTATTAGTACAAATCATTCTTCTCATTGAATTAAGAGAAAGTAGCTGTATAGCTATCCTATTTTGTTTATAAAGATACAAAATAGCCTTTCATTTATATCCCCTTTTTTGTTTACTTTTGTCAGAGATGGGTATTCCACTGCCATTTAAATATTTTTAGGTTCATGAATTCAGCAAAATATTCCAATATAGTCCAGTAGTCCATAATAGTAAATTGGTCAAGCAATGGCCTTGACTCATCCACATGGCTGACACTGACAAAGGATCTACAAACTGTGGTACAGGATTTCCGGGTAAATCCTGAGGGGATTTGACTGACCTTGTCAGATACAAAAGTTACACTTCTTATTATATAGGTCTTGTTTTATTTTGATCCTAACCATCAAGCAGAAAAGTATCAAAATGAGGTATAAAAAATAAAACCATATTAATATGCTGAGCTGTAAAAGGCTCAAGTCAACAACTTCTGGACATTGCCAGTCCTGCAGATAACCAGAAGCTATTTTTTGCTGTTGTTTTGGTCTTTCTGAAACCACTTGACTCTTTCCAGACACACATGCCTTGCTTTGATGAAAATGTGAAACCGAGTAGGCCAAAGCCACACCCAGTTAACAGCCATGGCCTTCCATGCAGCAACTCTGCTTCGGTACCAAAGGATTTGGAACCACTTAGGCCAGATGAAAAGACCATTCAACTAAGTGTAAATTCCAAGTATTTCTTTTAGGAAAAAATTCCTTGCTTAGTAAATGACATTTTGATGAAGACACTCCTAATCATACATTATTATTTTAATGCAAATTTAATTGTGATTGAAAATTTCTTGGTCTGTCACAAAATTTACATGCAACCTTTACTTCAACTAGACTGGATAACTTAGAGGACAAGGAGGGAGCTGTCAGTCAAGACTGGTTACATTGTTACTTGGGGTCTAGCCTTTATAACTCCCAGTATGAGCTGTATGGCTGAAGCAAACCCAGGATCTGAACACGCTACAGAAATGAATACGTACATTTAAAACTGGGAGAAAAATGGCGAAATTAACTTATCTTCATTTTTCAAAGGACTCCCAAAAAGAAGTAAACTAAATTTGTCCCCAGAGTAGAAGTTATCTATCTTTGATATCTGCTTTGATATTTGTAGCACTATCTTACTGCATGCTAACTTTTAATATGTAATACTCTGAAACCAATATCTAAAAAGTGAACAATACAAAACAGAAAATAGGTGAAATGGAATTCCATATACACTTAATAATGTCTGCTTTGGTCAGGCAGAGAGAGGCACTAGGGTGGCAAAATAATTTCAGGCCTAAGAGAGAAAAAAATTCCACAAAAGATAAAATATCAGGTTCCTTTGCTGTTTGCAAATTGGATCTGCAGTCAGTCATTTCTTCCCAGTTTTCCATCATTATTTCCTGAAGCAGAGGGAGTTACAGCAATTCATCCCCAGATAGGTGATTTGATTATCTTTAAGCATGTGGAATCTGTTACTCTCTAATGCTTATCAGCTCTGGCACAAATTGAACACATTAATCACCAATAAAAGGAGTCTGTGAGCAGGATAAAAAGTAGTGACTTTCACTGATAATGGGAAAATGCTCTTGTTTGAGAACCACGTTGCTAATACTAAGTTGAAAGTAAAAGATTTTTTTTTCAGAATGATAATAGTAATAAAGGGTACAGACTGACAGATTTAAATGGATATTCTGAGAACTGAGAGAAGCACCCACTCAATCCTCAGGGACAAATAATATTGGCAAGTATTTATATTGCTAATGAGAAGAATATCACATTTCACTTGGGACTTTTTTGAAATGTAAAAGTTGGATGAGTGATGACAGATCAGAGTTCAAAACTGGGTACCTTATCTTTTCCCAAATGAGCCAGGACTTGTGCCTTCAAATGGTTAACATTTATCTCCACACAACTGGAAATAACAGCACGAGCAAATCGGAGCCTCTGGGTGCTTAAAGCAAACATCTAAACCCGCACTGCAGGAAGCAGGCTGCAGGGCGGGGGTGGGGTGCCCGAGACTCCCCCTCGTCCCAGCGCCCAGGCTGCAGGGCCAGGCCGGGTCCATCTATCACAGCACCCGGTGGCGATCCGATCCAGGCTTCTCCCTCTGACAAAAACCGTCCCCTTTTGTTACCTTGCTATTATGCCCGGCAGCTGCTTATCCATAAATTCCTGCATGCACTGGTGCTCCGTGGAATTGTTGAGAAACCTCCGAAAAGATTCAGCATATCTGCCGTGATCCGACAACAAGCTCCTCATGGAAGATGCCATATTGCGTTTTCTAAGGAAGACAGGGAGGGAAGCAAAGTCTAACTTCCTTTCCTCTTCCCAGTTCCCTATTTCTCTCCCCACCCCCCACCAGTTTCTATTTAAGGAAGAAAGAAGGAGGACAGGGAGAAGGAAAAGAAGAAGAAAAACAAAAAGGAGAAGTAGATGGAGATCTTGCTTTGAATTTAATATGTATTCAAAGCTGGTGTGCAGTTTATTAAGCCCGTATTTGTCCAGGATTCTGCACTGATGTTTTAATCCTTACAGTTTTTATTTTTAAAAATAGTCAGTAAGCCAAAATTTGGTGAATACAAAACAAAATCTTGTTTTAAGACTCCTAAAGTACAGAAAGGCATAAAAACAGATTGTATTCAAATCACTTCCTGTTTTGTCAGCGGCTGCCAAAGTTTAGTTCCAAGTGGGAAAGTGGCTTTTTAAAGCGACCAAAACACTGGGGAAAACAGGGTGGCAGAAATTCATTTATCCCCGAACCGTTTTGAGAAATCTATAGGTGCTGCAGTCTTTGACAAAAGACTGTCACCTGCTTCTCTGCTTCATACAGGAAAGAGTTTTGGGGAAGTCACTTTTCTTGACCTTTGAACCTTAAACTCACCCGTTGTATTTCCTTAAATGTTGAGTGGTTGGAACTCAGGAAGTCTCTTAGGTCAAAGAGTAGCCTGAGAACTGCGAGCTAGCTCATAGTTATGGGTTATGCTTGTTGAATGTCTGCCTGAGCTCCCAGGCTCTTGTATCTTTGAGTACTGGGGCATAAAGATAGAAGCTGAGCCGTGGTTACCCTCCCTGGCAGGTTGCCCACAGTAGGCTTTCAGATTCTTTAAATGATTAACTGTGTGCTTGAACTATTCTATTATTGAGTTACCCTCTACTGTCAGATGTTCTACGCTTCTTCATCAGTGGGTAGCTCTCAGTGTTACTTGTGGCTCCAGTAATTCTAGCCATCAAGTGCTTGCTATGTGCCAGGAATTGTGTGATTCTTTTCAAATACAGGATTTCCCTTTTGCAGTGCCTCTGTGAGCTTTCTTACCCTTTCAGAGAAGTTTCATCCTTAATTCAAAGATGCTCAGCTGAGAAGCAGCAGGACTAGTGTATGATTCCAGACTGTTAACCCCAGGACCAGTGCTCTCGTCAGAATCTTTATGTCCAACCAAAATCTGCAATCTTGTGACCTCAAATAGGACTTCTATTACAGGTTGCCTAAGCAAAGCGGATACTGTCTTTCCCCATGTAGCACTCACTGAAAATTCTGAAATTAGCTTTGAGGACAAATTTATCCCCCAAGGTGCCTGTAGTTAGAAATTAGTCCTTTTACAGTACATATTTATATAATTCATTGCTCTGGTCTCCTTGTTAGAAAAATGATGGCAGTTTGTCTAGTTTTCTTAATTTTTAATTTTTTTTTAAATGAACACAATATGCCAAAGGCTGCCTACCCATTGAAGGGTATTATTATTGTCTAGGCATAGACTACTGTGTCCCAATGTTGGGATTAATCCATGTTTTTTATGGTTTTATTAGATGTTTGGCAGAAAATGTTTCCATGGTCAGTTAATTTAGTAGCATTGTTTTCAGCTAACGATTGTGGATATTTATAACATGTTTAATATTAAAAGTTCATATTCTTTTGTCATGTGTTATCTTGATATGTGGAAGATATATTATATGTCTACATTATTTCTCTGATTACTCTTTCAGTTTCTTACCAAAAAAAAGAATAGAAAATAAAAATTATAAAGTGAAGAAACCTGTTGCTTTCAGAACTACTTGCATTTGATTCAATGCTGGTTTCAGCATTCCTTAGTTTTGTAAATATATATTTCATGCAGAAAAATTTTTAAACAAGCCATTAACTATCTGGAATTTTCTAGGAATTGAATCATCTAGCTGGCTTGTTGGAATCACCAAATCTTAGGTATCTTCCTTCTCCTAGCATTTGAAAGTTGAAACATAGGTTAGCTAAGACATCTTTCTGTCTCTTACCCTGGCCTCTGGAAGGTCAAGTACAATGACATTATTATTGATTTTATAAGTTTACTCAGCACACTGGCATGTACAGTAATTCTTCTAGACCTTAAAAATTATCTAATTTAAGTTTTTTATCTTTTTATTTTGTTTGTTTTGGGCTTTCATTCCCCATTACCTAGAATTTATGAAGCTACTAGCATATCAAAGTGCCTTCCATACATCATTTTAGGTATTACTCCTAAACCTGTGGAGGCAGAGCTGTGCATATCAACAAGTGAGACTCAGGCCAGACACATTGTACAAGATTGCTTCACACCTAAGGGAAGAGCCTGGATCTACATCTATGTTTGATTCTGAAGACCATCTTTAAATTACAACATAATTCTTCTCATTTTGGGTATTTCCAATGTAAGGATTGTTTTTCACGTTGGCAAAGACTGAAACAAAGAAAAAGTGAAGTTATTCTGTATTTTTCATGTCATCTATTAGTAGGATACCATCTCTAGGTCAAAAAACAAAAATTTTCTCTCTTTAAAACTTGCTTTGTGTGCTATAACAAGAAGAGGAAGAAGAAGAAGAAGAAGAAGAAGAAGAAGAAGAAGAAGAAGAAGAAGAAGAAGAAGAAGAAGAAGAAGA